CGGCCCACCCGTTTGAACTAATAAAGTGCCAGGGGCCTAAGTGGTCACCTCAATATTAAAAAAAAAAAAAAAAAATTATGCTTATATTGTAATAAAACAAAACATTATATGAAGAATCGTTAAAACTTTAATATGCTGCTGACTTCTTAGTTCCTATTGATCTCTTATTGAAGCTTTAGTAGCGAAGGAAAAAAAATTATAAAAAAAAAAAAATGTTACAATATTGTAATGCTTAATACATACTGTAATAAAACAAACGTTATATGAAAAACCGTTAAAACCTTAATATGCTAACTTCTTACTTTCTATTGATCTCTTATTGAATCTTTAATAGTGAAGAAGAAAAAAAATCATAATGCAAAAAAAATTCTAATGTAAAAAAAAATCGTAATATAAAAAAAAAAATGTAGATTTAGATTCTACTTAAACCTGGAAAAAAATCGGGATCACTGCTTATCCTGTGATTTCCCATATGTCGGGTGATTTCGTGAGGTGCTAGGCTTTAAACGACTCCCCAAAATGAGAAGAAAGATTGCGAAAAACGGTCAGAATACCTCAAGAATAGCTGGATGAAGAACAAAATATAGAAGTTGAAGAAATATTGAATAAAAAGAAAACACTTCCTAAAGTAGAACCAAAAAGAAAACATGGTCCTTCAAAAGTTGATTTATTACAACCTTATAACATCGCGGACGATATTCTAACCCTACCTACAAGTACTACCGTGAGACAGATTCTTCAATATCCTAATCAAAGAAGAAATTTAGCTAAGATATTGAAAAGACCAACAATATTAAAAGAAGCAAAATTTCTTAAAAAAATACCTATGAACAACCGCCGCAAGATGTTATATCCAAATTAGAAATGATCCAATATTGGCAGTATTAGATTTGAGTGCCGCAGTAAGTATTATATCCAAACAATTATTGGATAAACTTGGATTAAAAATAGACGATAAGTCTATTACTATAGTAGTAATGGCTACAGGAGCCAGGCCAGAACATTAGAAAAAATTAAAGATATAAGAATAGTGATTAAAGATATAGTGATTCCTACTATCTTATATGTGATAGATTCATCAAATAATACATTGTTATTAGGAACAGATTGGTTCCAAAAGACAAAAGCTCGCATTTACTTTGATGAGCAAAGACTATACTTACAGTATGCTGATAGAATAGCAGAAGTTCAAATTTCTAATAGTGGAGTAGAAAGTCTTTATCTACCTGAAACTGAAGATGTTTATAGCGATGGCAGGGATACTTTCGACAAATTCAACTACAAAGAAGAAGAATTCGAAGAATTAGAAAGTTGACTCCTAAATGAAGAAAATCCTGCATTATACCTCACTAATATAGAAGAAGTATCTACAAAGAAAGACGGGAAGGATAAAGACAAATCTATAAAAAAAATAATTGAAGAAATGGTTAATAATGAAGAATTAACCAAAGAACAACAAATTAAAGCAAAAGAATTTTTGTTTACAGAAGAAGACTTATTTGCTTTAAGCATTGAAAATATGAGGCGTATGAATGTTACAACCCATAATATAAACACAGAAGACGCCGTTCTGATTAAACAAACTTACTATAGAGCCGTCTATAAAGAAAATGAGTTTATTAGAAAAGAAATTAATAAACTAAAAGAACAAGGACTTATTATAGAAATAAATAGCCCTTGGGTATCTCCGGTAGTTATAGTACCAAAAAAAAACGGAAAACTACATTTCTGCATAGATTATTGGAAGTTAAATATAGTTATGAAAAAAGATACTTATCCTTTACCACTTATCAACGATCTTCTTGATACATTTAGATCGGCCAAGTGGTTTTCTACTTTAGATTTAATAAGTGGATATTGGCAAATAGGAGTTAGCGAAGAAGATATAGAAAAAATGACGTTTATTACGAAATATGGTATTTACACATTTAAGGTAGTGCCGTTTGGTCTTTGCAATGCACCAGGGACTTTTCAATGATTAATAGATAAGGTATTAGGAGATTGCGTTGGAAATTTTGCTGTAGTATATCTTGATGATATCAATATATATTCAAATTCTTTTGAAGAACACCTAAAACATTTAAAAATTGTAATTAGTAAATTAAAAAATGCAAAATTGAAATTAAACCCAGAAAAATATATTTTCTTTAAATCCAAGATTAATTACCTGGGTCATGTAATTAATAAAGAGGGGGTAAGACTAGTGATGCCACCGAAATTGATTTTCAAAAAAGGCCTATTTCATTTCCATTAGAGCAAATTAAAATTTTTTATAAGAAAGAGCAAATAAAATTTATATATTTATACTCCTTATAATTTCGTCTATTTAAAAAAAATTCGTCTTTTAAGTAAAATAGATCAAAAACAATTTCGTCTTCAAATTTTAATTTCGGGTTTTAGAACCTGAAATAATTTTGTCGGCATGTATAGGTAAGATCTGATAAATCAAAAATTGAAAAGGTAAAGAAATTTCTAGTACCTGAAAATATTTGTCAATTGAGAGGATTTATAGGATTGGTGTCATACTATCGCCGATTCATAAAAGAATTTGCAACAATAGCCCAACTATTACATAAATTAATGGAAAAAATATTTCCTATAAATGGAAGGATGAACAACAAGTGGCATTTGAAACATTAAAAAATCATCTTATAAAGGCACCTATATTACAATATCTGAATTTTAAAGATGAATTCTTCTTATATACTGATACCTCCGGTGTAGGATTAGGAGCTATCTTGGCCCAGAAAGATAAAGACTACAAGGAATATGTGGTAGCTTATGTGAGCAGAGGATTTTCCAAAACTGAACAAAATTACTCAGCCCCGAAAGTAGAGTGTTTAGCTATTGTGTGGGCTGTAGAACACTTTCATTATTATTTAGAAGCTAAACATTTTACCTTAATAACGGATTATGCTGCTCTTAAGTAGTTACATACCTCTGAACCAAAAGGAAAGAGAGCCTGTTAGATATTAAAGTTACAACTCTACAACTACTCAATCATTCATAGAGCCGGGAGAAAACACTCCAATGTTGATGCTTTGTTATGAATATATTTCCTAAAGAAAGTAGTAAAAGAAGTAAATTGAATTTTTTTTTTTAAGAACTTGTAAAAAAAAAAAAAAAAAATTATTGTCGCAGCTGATGCTGAAAACGGCTAATGCTGAAATTTTTTTATATTTTATTATAAAATTATAAAAAATTTTTAGGCCTTTT